TTGGCCAGTCCATTAAGGATGGCCTCTTTAATAAACTTTTCTAAGATCTTCTCTGAGATAGAAGTCAGGCTGATGGGCCTATAGTTAGCCGGATCCACTTTCCTCCCTTTCTTGAAGATAGGCACCACATTGCCCTTCTTCCAGTCTTTGGGCACTACACCAAAGCACCAGGAGGTCTCGAAGATCCGTGCCAGAGGTTCGGCTATGATGCTCGCCAGCTCCTTGAGTACCCTGGGGTGTAGATTGTCAGGGCCAGCTGACTTGAAGGTATCCAACCTCTCAGGGTGCTCCTTTACAAGGTCAGAATTGATGGAGGGCAGGGGATCTCCCTCACCCGGACCTGCCTTTCCCATAGTGGGCATGGGTGTCCCATGGGACTGATGAAAGACCGACGGAAAGTACCCATTTAATAGGTTGGCTTTTTCCTAGGCATCAGTTGTCCTATCTGGTTCAGCAGGGGTCCAGTGTTGCCCTTGCTTTTCCTCCAGCTTCCCACATATCTGAAAAAGGACTTTTTATTGTCCTTGATGCTTGAAGCTAGTTGGAGTTCAGTTGCAGCCTTGGCTTTCTTGGTTTTCTCCCTGCAGAACCAGACCAGTGCAGAATAATTCTCCTTGGGGGAGAATCCCATCCTCCATCCTTTGTAGGGCTTTCTTTTTAGCCTCAGGAGGTCTGCTAGGTCCCTGGAGAGCCAGGGGGGCTGCTGTGCCCTCCTGCTTCCTTTCCTCCGAGATGGAATTGAATTAGCTTGTGCATTGAGGATCGCTCCCTTGAGGAGCAACCACTCTTCCTGGACTCCTGTCCCCCTGGGGTTGTGGTCCCTTAGGGCGTGACTGACAAGCCTCCTGAGCTTGTCAAAGTCAGCTTTCCTGAAGTCAAGGACTTCAGTGTTGCTGACTTGCCAGCTTTACGGTGGATGGTGAAGGTGATCAGCTTGTGGTCACTGTCATCCAGCTTCCCATCAATCACTAGGTTGCTGATTAAGTCATCCCCAGTAGCCAATATCAGGTTGAGCAGCACTTTACCTCTCGTTGGCTTGTAGACTTCTTGAGTCAGGTAGAGGTCATCCACGCACAAGAGGAGGCTTGATTAAGAAACTTCCACTAGCTGTTTGAAGAAAGCCTCATCCACCACTTCCTTCTGGTCTGGTGGTCTATAGCAGACACCCACCACAACATCACCCTTGTGATGTGGACCCAGAGACCCTCAACAGGCCTATCTCCAGCTTCATACTGGAACACTGAGCAATCATATGGCTCTTTTACATAAAGTACAACTTCTTCTCTTCTCCCCTGCCTGCCCTTCCTGAAGAGTTTGTACCCATCCATGACAGTGCTCCAGTCATGCGAGCTCCCACCAAGTCTCTATTATTCCAATAACATCATAGTTCTGTGGCTGTGCAAGGACTTCTAGTTCTTCCTGCTTGTATCTCAGACTTTGTTCATTTTTGTACAAGCACCTGAAGTAACTATTCGATTGCCCTGATTTCTCAAGAAGTATGAGAACACCTCTCCTGTTCCCCCTCCTGCTTGCTTTTTCTGAAGTTCTCCCACTTCCCCACTTACCTCTGGGCTTTGGTCTCCATTCCCTGGTAACCCTAGTTTAAAGACCTCCTCATTAGGTTAGCGAGCCTGTTTGTGAAGACACTCTCCTCTCTCTTCATCAGGTGAATCCCATCTCTTCCCAGAAATCCTTCTTATTGTAAGAACATCCCATTGTCAAAGAAGCCAAATCTGGGCTGGTGACACTACCTGCGCAGTCAGGTGTTGATCTGCAGGATGCACCTGCTCCTGCCCAGGCCCTTTCCCTTGACTGGAAGGATTGATGATGTTAGGGTGACAATATTTGGATCTTAGAGAGCACTGGATTTGCAGCTGAATACAAAGGCTTTACCTGTGGCCTAGCAAAGCTGCTGACCACAAGGCAGAGTGGTGGTTAAGCCAGCCATTTGCTTATGTTAAGTAACCATTTTAACTGTCAACCATTTTCTGAGGGAAAAGCAGCAAGTGAATCTGTGTAAATCTGTGTGCTGTGAACCAGCTACAGCGAGGAACAAGATAAGATAAAGGGGCCCAAAAAGGGTGGGGATGATACAACCTAAGACAGAAAAACAGACTGGAATGTGGAAAACAACATGTAATTGGTAACATAATCCGAGATGACCATATGCAAAAAGGTGAATGGTGATTGACTAAAACGTGGAAGCTTCTGGAGGCTTCTTAACCAAAGTCCGCCCATTGACCGAAGAAAAGCAGTCAAGGTCTTAGACATGCACTCAAAAGCAAGAAGACATGTAAGTGAATGAAATACATAGGCAATTCCATGTAAATGAAGCAAACAGTAAACAGAGGCAGAGCTTGAAATGAGAGGAGAAATGGGTGGAACATAGGAGCGGCGAGGGTAGAATAAATGTTAATAAACATGAACCAAAGTGTATAAATGTGGAAAAAACTAGTGTTTGTGCCTGTTCCTCGTCTCTTATGGCAAGAGAGCTTGCCCGAAGCTGTCTCCATTCTGAATAAAGTTGTTGCGAGCAAGGTGTGCTGGTGTTTGCTCCCTGCTCTGCTCTGGCTAATGAGTAACAGGATCCACGGGTAATTGGACTATTGTCTCCCTCGTCATTGGGCATTGCATGGAGTTGGGGTCTAACAGATGAGAACACAACCTGAGGCCCAGACGCCCTCACCCTTGCACCCAGAGCCCTGTAGTCACTTTTGATCTGCTCAGGGTCTCTCCTGGCAGTATCATTGGTGCCCACATGGATGAGTAGCATGGGGTCATAGTCAGAGGGCTGGATGAGCCTTGATAGTCCCTCCATGTTATCTCGGATCTGGGCTCTGGGCAAGCAGCAAATTTCCCGAGACAATAGGTTACATTGGCAGATGGATCTCTCCATCCCCCACAGAAAGGAGTCTCCAACCACCACCACCCGTTGCTTCTTCTTGGTAGCGGTCATCTCGATCCTTCCCACTTGGTGAGACCTGGCCTGTCTTTCTCCACCAATGGAATATGCTCCTCTCTCTCTGCTGCTAGGGCTGCATATCTGTTCTCCAGACAAACCACTACAGGGGGAGGTGAAGATCTCTGCTTGCAGCCAGAAGTCACACACCTCCAGCTTGGAAAGGAATGGAATAGGTAGAGTCAGGGATGCTCACTGAAAGAAGTTTGGAGCAGTGAGCAAGAAGCCCTCCAGTCATGGGAATCGTCCTGTGCTCAGGAAGGGATTACCTGCCTCCTCACTGGACGGGCTGGCCTGTTGAAAAGTTATCATTTGATTCCCCCAGGTACCAATTTAATAGTGCACCTAGAGGCTGATTTCCTTCTTCTCGCTACTTGACCAGAAAGAGAGCAGACAGAGTTTTCAAGAAGTCTTCTTAATCCCCATCTTACAGGAGAAGAATATTGTTCCTAGAAGGGTAAAGTGAAAGGTCTCACTCCTGTCACATCCCGTTACCACAGAGGATATGAGCATCATCTTTGTAACAAACCTGAGGGCTACTTGCCTTGAGTGTAGACTTCCCCTTGGTCACTCCAGGTAGTGGACTGCCTCTTTGATGCTTTTACACTAATATAAATGCACTTTCTTTGCACTGCTATAAAATCCTCCTCAGCAACTCTCTGACATGGGTACAAAACGCCTGGTGAAAACATGCTTTTAAAAGTGATTTTGCCTCCCTTTGGTTAATCTCCATGAATGGATGAATGAATGAGCAAAAACAAAATGATACGAGATGGGGATAATAAGATGGTGGAAATAATAAAACAGGCAGGTAATGCACACTACAGCAGTACTCTGGTAAGAAATCCAACCCACTTGTCACTGAGAAATGTATAGGTGTATATACATGATATCTCACACAGTACAGAACATCCTCGAGTGGCAATGCAAAGCCAGTGACCCATGCAACTCCTCCAAATAACTTCTAGAGGTGCCACTGATGAAGAAAATGGAAGGGAAGTGGATTGTGAATTATTGATACCACATACTGCAAGTGAACTTTTGACATGACCATCTCTCCACTGTCAGTCCCTGTATGCTGTATGCCCTCCTTTAGTATCCAGATTTCAATCTGCCCTACACACATTGTTCTGTCCTATTAACAAGAGAACTCACTAGTGTAATACATTTTTGAACAAGAACTGTATTTTTGTAATAATTTCTGTACTAATCCTTCTGGAAAACATTTGTTTAGCACATTTCACCTAGTCATACTTGGAGAGGGGTTATAATTTTAAGATCTGATTGCAACTCCAAGTGGAGATGCATTTATTTGTGAAGCTCAGCTTACAACTCATATACGTAGATATGCCATAATGATGGCATTTGGAAAGGTAGTGTGGTGTACTTTGCAATTTAACTGGGCATATTTTGGTATACCTACTCATGCTGTGTGGTAGCTTGCTCTACCTTGGCTTCCTTAGGACTATTTATTAGAGAAGGTACTATTCATCTAGTCAATATGAGTGAGAATGTGAAAATTTGGCTAATAATAATGATATGTTCATTGGTTTTTAAATTATCATGGCATATTATTCTAATAGTATTATACTATTACTAATAGTAAATTGTTATAAAATATCATAGTCCTCTAAATTTTTCACCAAAGCTGTGCAAGTCATTGGTATTTTTGGTTCTCTGGCCAAGCCAAAACGTCAAAAAAGAATTAGGTTAAGGCAAATGAAAATGGTTTTTAGTTTTGTTGAAAAGGATTGGAATTTGAGTAAATTTAGTCTTGAAAAGTTATTTCCAAATGAAAAAAGTTAGATGTTTCATTTAAAATATTAACATTTATATGGTCTGACTTTTCTTAATTTTTCTGGTGTCTTTAGCTGAAACAATTTAAGTTTGGCATAAATGTGTAAATAAATTCCATGGATGCCATGCTTTGCTTTTCAGTGAATAATTAAACAATTTGCCTGAAATAATTAACTCAGCTCTAGTTTTCTAGATGCTAATAATGGACTCATTTGTATAGCTATAGAATCACCAAACCAGAACATTTTAGAAGCAAATTCACTGCTCGTGGGGCTGCTTCTCTGACTTGCCTCATGTAGGATGAGTCTCTCTAAAACAAATGATACATTCCCATAAGAAAAGGTTGAGGAGTCAAGTCTTTTAGGCAGGAGTAATATTTCCTACCTTGCAAGTACTCATGACCATCAGAAGAATGGTATCTTCAGCAGCAAAACGACCTCTTAAACGAAGCTGGAGCATTGACTCAGTATTGATTCAGAGCGAAGTCAGCTTCTTGTTGAAACAAACACCACTTCCTGTAGCACTGGGGTTTCTCTGCAGGGCTTCTGCCCGTGCTTTGCTTTAAGAGTTGAGAAGACAGTGCATGGTGGTATGGCTTCAGGCAATGAATGTCCTTTTTTTAAATCAGGAGGTAAAGGGTTTAGTACTATTTCTTGGATTTTTCTTATTCCCTCTAAGCCAGAGGGGATAGCCTAGAGGTCTACACACAGGCAGGAAAGATCCAGACTGGAGACACAGGTTCAAAGATTCAGCAACAAGGTGGGAAGAGTTGGATGACTCAAGGGATAGACATCATTAATCCCCAGGAAATTACACAAGGTAAGGTCATTGTTACTACTGTCATATGAGTGAAGTATAGTATTCGGGAATTATTTTAGATGTCACTCAGTTTCACTCGGTACTGAATACACTCATCGGTCAGGTTCCAGGAACACTTGCTCAACATCCAGCCCTCTTAAAATTCACAAGCTGAACTTTAGCCTTGGTATCAGCTGGCACAAGTTGAAAGGAGTTGCGTGTGCTTGGAGCCAGCAAATGATCTTGGCCCATTGCAGTCAGTGTCCTACTAAACCAGGTAACGATTGGATTGTGCAATGGTAACCAGCTGCTGTATGATACGGAAGGGGGAAAGCTCAGAAACAAACTTGTCTGTGCAGAAAGACGAATTTGCCGGCATTGCAGAAATCCTGGAATAGAGAGAGAACTTTCTCTGACGAGGCAGCCAAGTGAGAGAGTCTGGAACAGGAAACGCAGGTGCGGTGAATAGTGAAAGTACACAACCCAGGTTAAAGTGCTTTTGTGCCTAATGCTTCAGAGAAATTAGTCAAGAAGAACTCAACTGTGAAAATGCAGCTCCTGTATTTCTGCCAAGGTTATTGAGACCCATTTTGATCTGCTGAGCAAATGCTAGTTGCATAGTCTTATGCAGCTTGGGTGAACATCTCATGTGAGCAATTTTTTTTTTTTCAAGCTTGAAATCAGAGGGGCTCTGGCATATGAGCTCTTGTATAGTCCGATAAAGTGTTTCCTATGGAGAGAAGAAAGTAGTAATGCTGTTATACAAAGCCCAGGTGAGGCTTTATCTGAACTACTGGATACAGTTCTGATGGCCTTAGTGTTTTTGGGGCCCCTTAGAGGCATATACTCAGGTAAATATTAATCCACCACAGTTGTATCATGGATCTTTTTAATATTCTTTGGAGGAATTAGATAAATAGTTGAGTGTTAAAATGCAAATAGAGCCACTTCCTTGCAAAACTTCGCCCCCCACAAAAAAATTTGGGTCCCCTAAAGTGTGGGGCAGTCGCCCGGTTTGCCCTCCCCTAAGGCCGCTACTTTGATCTCCCATGTTCAAGAAACAAGACTCAGACTGGAAGAGGTGCAGGGACACAGATGTCCAGTATGGTCAGGACATGGAGGCTTTCTCACCTGAGAGGAGATTAAAAGGGTTTGGCTTGTCTAGCAAAATGAAGACTGAGGGGAAATATGGTTGTTGTCTCTACAGAGATCCTAGATGTAAATGCAAAGTAGAGAGAAGAGCCATTGAAACTGAAGGGCTATGCTGGCACAAGAACAAATGGGTATAAACCAGGGATGAATACATTTAGGATGGGAATGAAGAGATTTCTAAGCAAAACAGCTTGCTTTGTGGGTAGCCTTCCACTATGAGGAGTGGAGGCAAAAAACCCTAGCTCGTTGGAGGATGGAGTTTGATCAGTTTATGGACAAAATTATATGATACAACTGCCTACAAGAGCAAGGGAAAGGAGTCGATGATCTGGGAAGTCCCTTCCAATCCTGTATTCCCAACTGGTATTTTTGTAGTGGATTGTCTGGCTCTTCCTTTTAATCATTTCCTTACAGCAGTTAGGACAAGCATTCAACTTGCTCTTCACACCCCCACCCCAACCTGAACTGTTCTCCCAAGACGTGCAGCACATAATTGAAAGCAGGCTGCATATTTTTGTGTATAGCCGCTTTTTCATTCAAATTACCTTTAAACTTAGCCAGATTGGAGGCGTAAATAAAGGCAGAATACAGCCTGAAGTGTTGTAATAAAAAGTACCTAATGGGCTTCTGTGGGATGTGAATTAATCTGTTTCATGAGGGGAAAGATGTTTGATAACTCCGTGAATATGCTGTCAGGGATGCATTTCACCCCTCCAAGAATGTACTATTCTAGGTACTGTACTCAGTCAAAATCCCCCATTGAATTTTACCCTCTAATGTCTATATAATAACGGTAATATATATTCTTAGCACATAAGCAATAAATAGGAAGCATTCAAAAAGACTGTCTTCCAGAGAAAATTCAAGATCTTATGGGATACACATTAGTTCCCACAATAAAAGAACACAAATCAAAATAGTGACTGAACAGCAGATGAGTGAATGATTATGCTGGGCTTCTAATGAAACCATACTATAAAAGGCATTAGAAAGATTGATTAGTGTTCAGTTAGCTGACAACACTACCAAATACGTTCATAGTTGTGATGAATCTACACAGAAATATTTCTTCGTGAGCGTGTCTGTGTGTGTATCCGTGCTTGTGTTGTTATAAGTTATTTGTTGCAGGCTTTTTTTATAGTATAATAAAGAAACTTGACTTGCAGCTCTTCACACTTTGCACTCCACTGTGAATACTCTTGCAAAGGACGGTTCACAAAATCACTCATTTTCCATACATCTGACAGTCATTTCAATTAACACATTGATCAGCGTATTTACAATATGCAGAGCTAAATAAACATATTTAGGAGGAAGCAAGATGGAGCAAGCCGCTTAGTTGGGTTAAAAAAAAAAAAGAGTTTAAACTGAATCCTAGCCAGGAGTTACTGATGCTCAGAGTATAGAAGGATTAAAGATCAGGAATGAATATTTTTTATGGGGAATGAGAGTTACAATAGGGAGGAATGAAAACAAAGCCAGTGGCCAGATATTCAGCTGGTGTGAATGTGTTAAGTGTCACTGCCTTTCACGGGGCCACGCCAGTTCATAGCAAATGTGGATCCAGCTGTAAGAGTTTGGAAGGATGATAAACCCTCAGGATTTAGGGCCTAAACCACTCTGCCTCTGTGAGAAACTAGATATTGGGCTATAGGGATCTGTGGTGTGACCAAGTATGGCATTCATGTTCTTACCTCTCATAGGGAGTTGGGAGGAAATTTGAACTCAAGCAAATTGTTCAGTAACCACCAACTGCTGGGCTTTTGCATCTAGTTTTTTTGCAAGTGTCTCTGAAACAGACTGCGCAAGCCATTGTTTGTTGGAAGGTATTCAGCTAGAAGATATAGTCCAGCTTAGCAGTATCATACCTCTTTGTCCCAAAATGTTCATATCTAAGTGACTATGGTATGATGTATATAGTTATAGGTTACAAGGCTATTATAGGAAATGTTTTTATGTCATTAATGTAATAAAACCATTTTTGAGCTCCTGGAAATCAGTCTGTAACTTTCAACCAATTTTTCAGTCAGTTTCTGTCGCTGCTGAAGTCAGTGGCAAAATTCCTACCAACTTCAATGGAGGGATGTTGCAGCTCTTGGATGCAAAACTAGGCTTGATATGTTGTTAAATAAGCAACACACTGGGCATGTCTACATGTGCACTTTAATGTGCATTCACCTATTTTAATGCGCATTAAAGCATCACTAAAAAAACCCCATGCTCTTTAGTTAATGTGCATTAAAATCAGATACTTGGGCATACATCTGGGGTTCTGGAAATCCAGCACATCAGAGCAGACTCAATTAATCGAGTCTGCTGGAGCATATAAATCGACGCACTCTGGCAGCCTTGCACATCACATGTGTAAGTGGTGCAGTGCACTTCCACGTTGAGAAAATGGCAGCAATGCACTTTGAACTAAAACATGTTTGATGTTCCATGTTCTAGCAGACTCCAGCTTCACATGTATTAGCATCCCCACCCTGAAAAATGGTGGTGGGGTGCTTTGAACAAAAGCTTGTTCAATGAGCTTTAGTTCAAAGCACGCTGCCACCATTTTTCAGGGCGGGGACGCTGCTACAATTAACATTCCAGGTGCTTTTAATTAGAGCAGGTCTTGGAGGCGCACAAATTAAAGCTCTCTCTGCCTTCTGGAGCACATCTATAAATGCTCCATGCTGTTTAGTTAATGCTCATTAAGACAGGCTAATGCACATTTTCCTAGTACCTCACAATGGAGAGTGCCTGTAGATGTGCAGGGAAGCTTCCCCGATGCACTGTAATTTTTTACAGTGTGTCAGAACAGACTTGATTAATTGACTCTGCTGGAGCATACCAATTATCGTGCTCCAGGTAGCCTCTGCATCTTGTGTATCAGCATCCCTGTGCTTCAAAATGGCAGTGGGGGCACTTAAACTAAAGCTTGTTTGGTGAACTTTAATTAAAGCACCCCTGCCATCATTTTGAAGCACAGGAATGCTGATACACAATATTCTGCAGCGCG